TAATAATTTGTCCATGCAGAAAAAAATGAAAGAATAAGAGAATCATTATCTGGAAATAATCATAATAATTCAAGTAATAATAATCAGTGAAATGCTACCCTAGTGGGTGAAATTCTGAGAAGCCAGATATTTACAAAGCTTCAAAGTATCTTCACAGGGTTAGTATGGTAAATAATAACTTTACCATGGACAAATGTGTCAGATTCTCCTTAACTAACTAATAAGAGTTAACATTGGCCAGTAATGGAACCATGTGACAGCATATGCCTCCAGACATGCTGCACTGGGAAGAACTCAGCCTCACTTGTGCAACATTCCTGCCCTAATGGCATAACCTAAATCTAAGTATGAGGAAACAGCATATGAACCCAAATTAGAGGAAATCTACAGAATAACTGGCTTATATTTTTCAAAACCATAATGCCATGAAAATCAAAGACAGACTAAGGAACTATATCAGATTTTAAAGAAACAGGACAATTGAGCACAACACATCATGGACTGGGAAAATCCACCCACTTGGATTTTCTGTGGCTCTAAAAGGTATTATGGAGAGAGTTGGTATCTCTAAATAAGGGCTGTAGATGATTAGATACTAATTTTAACCAAATTTTAATTTCCTGATAAGTTGACTATACAGTTGTTTAAGATAAGTCTTTGTTTTAAGGAAATACAAACTAAAATGTTATAAGTAAAGAGGAATTGGGTCCCCAACTTACAAACAGTTCAGGAAAAAAGTCTATGTTATATACTTATATTTATATTTATTTAGAAAGAGAGAAAAAGAAAGAATAAAGCAAATGTAAGTAGTCAAATGTTAACATTTGGAAAACTGTACCCGAGAGTTCTTTGTACTACTCTGACATTTTCTGTAATTCTGGAATTATAAAAATAAAACGTATCTAAAAATAAAAATCAATTTTTAAAACTATTAACAAATTATAACCACATGGAATGAAATGAGCCATGAATCCATATTGATACAAGTAAACCAACAAATTGAAAGTTCAATGAAGAACAAATATATTCACATAGTCTCAAATTTCCTCCCCACAGAATACTAATTACAAGGTGAAAAAGTAACATAACAGAGAAACCCAGAAAATACCACTACTGGTGATCAAGGCTAACATCACCAGTAATAGGACAAATCAAAATTTTAGGTCACGTGATAGCATGCAACAAAATCAGAAGATACTCATCAAAAGCATATGATCTAAGTCTAATCATAAAGAAACATCACAGAAACCCAACTGAGGAAGCTTCTACATTACTGGACTTAATTCTTCAAAAGATTCCAGGTCATGAATGTTAACAAAAGAGTGAGTCACTGTTCTAGACTGAAAGAGTCTAAGAGACATGACAATTAAATGCAATCTATGGTTCTGAATGGAATTCTTTTGCTATGAAGAACATTATAAACAAGTAATAAAACTTAAAAAGAACCTGAGGATAACATGATTGAATATATTCATGTTATCTTTCTGATTATGAAAGTTGTATTGCAGTTATATAGAATTTCCTGACTTGTAGCAACACTCACTAAAGTAATCAGGGGTGATTTCGTAATGTCAGTAATTTATTCTCAAGTGGCCACAGGGGAAAAAGTTCTTTGTATTAAAACTTGAAACTTTTCTCTATTTTTTTTTTTTTTTTTGAGATGGAGTTTCACTCTTGTTGCCCAGGCTAGACTGCAGTGGTGCAATCTTGGCTCACTGCAACCTCCGCCTGCCAGATTCAAGTGATTCTCCTGCCTCAGCCTCCCAAGTAGCTGGGATAACAGGCATACACCACCATGCCTAGTTAATTTTTTGGTATTTAGTAGAGATGGTGTTTCACAATGTTGGTCAGGCTGGTCTTGAACTCCTGACCTTAGGTGATCCACCTGCCTCGGCCTCCCAAAGTGCTGGGATTACAGGTGTAAGCCACTGTGCCTGGCCCTTCTCTCTAATTTTAAGACTGTTTCCAAAAAGTTAATCGAAAATAAACAAACAAACAGAAATGGTGAACAGCCTTAGGCAAACCTTATTTTTTTTCCATTTACCATTCTATATAATTCAGTGTTGAAAATTAAAATTATATAACTTTGATGGCATGGTAATAATTGTAATACATCTAATATTGACAATGACCACAGTACCAGTGTATCAAAATGATATGTCTGTCTATATCTAAATCTAAATCTCTAAATATAGTGGTAAAATTTATAAAATACCAGTAAGTCATCAATTTATTCCACTAAAGCATTAATGACAACTTTGTCGTTTGGTTGTTTAAACAGCTGAAATGTGGGCAGTTTGAGTATGTAAAACTAAAAAATTCTGGTTTTCATTTGGAAGATTCACTGAAAAGTTAAAGAGGCCAAGGAACATAATTTAAAACACTATATAAATTGTCTTTTGACATACAAGATACAAAAATATTTTCATTTAATAAACATCTTTGCATGTCACACATTTAATGGGAAACAAAATATCATGCTAACAGCCTAGTAATACAATTTTATTATCTTTCAGATTTTTTTTGTTTGTTTGTCAGCACACATTCTTGTTTTGTTTTTGAGATGGAGTCACCCTGTTGCTCAGGCTGGAGTGCAGTGGCGTGATCTTAGCTCACTGAAACCTCTGCCTCCTGAGTTCAAGCAATTCTCCCACCTCGGCCTCTTGTGTAGCTGAGACTACAGGCATTCGACACCATGCCCAGCTAATTTTTGTATTTTTAGTAGTGACAGGGTTTCACAATATTGGCCAGGATGGTATTAAACTCCTGACCTCAAGTGATCCACCCACCTCTGCCTCCCAAAGTGCTGGGATTACAGGCATGAGCCACTGCACCCAGGCAGCACGTATTCTTGCTATGCTTTTAAAACTAGTTATTGATTTAGATTTTACTCATTAGCAGATTCTAGTCCTGAAGCTATAGAGCAGCAGTCCCCAACTTTTTTGGAGCAAGGGACCAGTTTTGTGGAAGACAATTTTTCCACAGATGGGGGTTTGGGGAATGGTTTCAGGATGATTGAAGCACATTACATTTATTGTGCACTTTATTTCCATTATGATTACATCGTAATACATAATGAAATAATTATAGAACTCATCATAATATAGAATCAGTGGGTGTCCTAAGCTTGTTTTCCTACAACTAGATGGTCTCATCTTGAGGAGATGGGAGACAATGATATATAATCAGGCATTAGAGTCTCATAAGGAGCATGCAACCTAGATCCCTTGAATGTGCAGTTCACGATAGGGTTTTGACACCTATGAGAATCTAATGCCTTCACTTATCCGATAGGAGACAGTGCTCAGGTGGTAATGTGAGCAAGGAGGAGTGACTGTAAATACAAATGAAGCCTCACTTGCTTGACTGCCACTCACCTTCTGCTGTGAGGCGTGGCACCCAACAGGTCTTGAACCCCTCTGTGGCCTGCAGGTTGGGGACTCCTGCAATAGAGGACCCAGATTTAAATTTAGAGGAAGATAGAATGAAAAAGAAAGAATTGTATTCTTTATCTAAATGATTTCATAGTTAGCTAAGATAAAGTCAGTAAAAGTTCAAAAATTTATCAGCATTAGTAAGAATGAAAAATATGCACAATATACAATTACTATTAAATATAATTTGCCCATAGTTACACCCTGAATTCCTTATCATGGTAGTTAAGTATCAGAGCTTCTGGTTTTCTCACTCTTCATTCATGTATTTAGCAACCATGTGCTGAGGTACTAGGACAAGCAATGGAATTACAAGATGAAGATGATACAGTCCACCCCTCAACAACTGTACCCTATAATCTGAAAAAACAAACAGGCAATTCCCATAGAGAGCCATAGATACAATGACAGGGATTTATCAGAAGACACAGAAGGGATACTAGCCCAGGTTTGTGTCAATATTGTAGGCTTTTTGGTAGAGGTGATTCATAGGTTGATAACTGAAGGATAAAGAAAACATGTGGGATAAAGGGAAGAAGTAAATGCAAAGAGCTGGAGATGAGGATGATCACTGTGGAGCTCCATGTAGTCTAGTGTGGCTGGATGCTAGAACAAAGTGGCAGAGTATGGTGAGTGGTTAGCAAGGCACAAGTATACTCTTTCTTATGATTATGTTTTCACATTTTTCACTAAATGGATATAAGAAAAAATATTTAATGCAGTTTTTATTAACTAAGCAATGGAGAGGAATACAGTGCACTACCACAGTTTATTTCTGAAACCAATGATTTGAATTTAATTCATAAATTTTGGCAACATACCTTCATCTATTTCTGTAGTTTCGATTTCGTGCAACACCTGTTTCACCTGAAATAAATCAAATATTACTCATAATGTTTCAGCCAAACAAAAGACATTACCATGTAAACCCATTGTAAGTCAAGGAGCATCTGTACTGTAGATTGATCATTCCTAATCTAAAAATCTGAAATTCAAAATGCTCTAAAATCTGAAACTTTTTGAGCATAGACATGACACCACAACTGCAACATTCCACACCTTACCTCATGACAGGCTGCGGTGAAAACAGTAAAAACTGTTGCCTGCAAAAAATTACTGTAAAAATTGTAAAACATAAGTGAATTTCATGTTTAGGTTCAGGTACCATCCCCAAGATATTTCATTAGGTATATGCAAATACTCCAAAGTCAAAAAAATCTGCTTCTGGTCCCAAGCATTTTGGACAAGGGATATTCAGCCTGTCCTACTGGAAAAATGAAATTCCTTTTCAGTATGACAGAAATTAAGAGATTGGCTTACCGAAGTTGAACTTTGCATGATTTTCTGAAGCTGCTCAATTTGGTCGTCTTGCTTTTTAATTATACTTCTTCTGACGGAATTTTCTATTTCAAGCCTAAAATGTGCATTTAAAAATAATTACTCTCACACACAATGCTTTTAAAATCATGTGAATTCTAAACAAATTTCTGAAGGTATAACTACACAAATTCTTAGAGATTTTAAAAGTAGATGTTTGGGCAACTGTGTCATTTTTCTACCTAGGAATAATGTAGAAAAATGATGCATTTCAATATAGTTTACAAATGAAACTTTTCCTTGGCTTCACAAAGGCATAATTATTATCATAACTGATAACAATTCTCATACTACATTGCTCTTTTGCTTTATAAATACTCAAGTTATTTTGTGTTCAAACTGTACTTTTTTACGTCGCCTTGCATCTTCTCAGTACATCTTAAAGTTGCTGTAAGTTGATCCTGTATTTCCTGAAACTAAAACAAAGAATTAGAAACAAACCATTTACATTTGGAAATGACCTAAATGTCCATCAGTTGATGAATAAATCAACAAAATATATATAAAATATTGTTTTAGAATATCACAGTCTTTTTTATTTAAAAAAGGTCATAATCCAGGAAAAGTCATCTCATTACCTGTTTTTTTGTGACTAATTTTGCTGGAACACTGTTATACCCCTTCAATCCACATATTGTTTATGGCTACTTTTATGCTATAACTGCAGGGTTGAGTGATTTAAGAGGGATCTTATGGCTCACAAAGCCTGAAATAATACTACCTGGCCCTGTAGAGAAAAGATTACTGATCCATGCTCTAGGACTAAAACACAATATTCTTCTTGCTTCTGAATGATATTTTATCAGATAAATACTCAAACTTACAAATTGGTAAAATGTGGAAAGATAAAGAATTACCTCATGGTAAGCATTTATATTTTTGAATTCCAAACACTACCACAGCAACTATAATTTTAGTTTTTTGTATGTATGCATTTAGTTTTATTGTAGCAAAGCAACTTGCACATTTTTAATATTTAAAACTAAGCATCACCTTTCCTTTGTAGGAAAAGTTCAAGAAATTTTAAAAATAAGCAGGAACAAAATTAAAACAAAGTCCATTCCAAGTAAGATCTTACAGGATAGTATTGACTATCTGAGTAGCAGGACTCAACGCATCATTAAAATAGAAGTCATTAAAAAGCATCATCTTAAAGTGCAAGGTGTGCATTAAACATGCTAAAGGAGAAGCCGTGTTGTCTAAATGCCCACTTAAGCCACTCAAACATCTCAAACCCACCCTTTGCTGATCTTCTATAACCCCCTTTTTAGTTTAGTTTTTTTAATAAACAAGAGAAAATAGATACATGTTGGCAAATGTTAACTGTCCATGTTCATATAGAGACAGAGTGTACTCTCTGAGCCCAATACAAAGAGAGAGTAAGGATTTTCATCAAAATAAAAATTTATTCAGTAGAATGGCCTTTCTGTACAAAATTAACCTGCAATCTATGAAATAAGTATGCACAGGTTCTTTATTCATTCAGAAAACTAGAGATTATAAATAAGATAATTTTCTAAAACATTCCATTAGACATTATTCTCTGAATTAATCTGGCTTTTCTCATCATGGCAATAGAGAAACCACTAAAAACAGACTGTTAAACAGGAAAAAAAAAAAAACTTCTCTGAACTTATGTGAGAAAGGATGCATAATTCTCAACTTTCCTAAGGTTAAATATTTAGGGAAAAAATATATGTATAAAAGTGGCAGAATGAAAGCCAGAGATTAAGAAATAGGTGTATTATAAAGATAATAAAATTTTAATAAAATTAATAATAAGGAAAATACAAAAGAAAAGCATTCACTATAAAATTTTGATAAAATTACTTAGAATGAAAATACAAAAGAAAGCCGGCCACTAAAATTAGTACCCCAAAACTTTATATTAGTTAACCGCCTACAGATTAACTGTTTTTGGCATGTGAAGTTTCATACATACTTGACTTCTCATCTGGCCTGCTTTCTTCTTTGAATCCTCCAGCTCACTTTCTAAATGGACGGAGCGACGCAATGATGCATCCATCAAAGTTTTTGATGTTGATTCTTTGTGTAGGGCATCAACCCGTTTTTGTTGAAGTTGTCTCACAAGTACCTGATAAGATGTTATTTTTGTTACTGGTTTTACAAATCACCTTTTATTGAACCATTAATAATATTTAAAGTATACACTTTGAAAAATATCACCACACAGACCGATTCACCTTCTTTTCCTCATATGTACACATTCCAGTTTATTACTGAATCCCATTAAGGGTACAGAAGGTGTTATCTTCCTATCAAACTAGTATTGTTACTGACACAACATATTCAGCTCACTAGTCATTCCTCCCCTGATGAAGTCGTAATGCTTAAAAACCTTCTGAAGTCTCAAAAATAAATGAGTATGTGGGTGAGACTGATGGTAGTAAATTACACATTGTGGAATGGTTTCCCTCTTTTGTTTTTTATTAGAAACTCAAATCAACCTCAGAGTTCCTCACATTAAATCATCTGCTTAAATCCTTCTAATAGATTTCTATCGCAGAACAAAAGTAAAATTCCAATGGCCTTAGATGATCTAAGTAACCTGCCCTCCACCTCCCGACCTGACCTCAGCTGCTATGTCTGACTACTCCATTCCTACTCTACATGAATCCTGCCACTCATTAGTCTGAAATCCTCCTTAGTCTGAAAATTGGGATCCAATGTCAAACTAATAAATCACAGATAGCTCTGCCTCTCTTTGTCCTAGACAAAATTACATCCAAATAATAGTAATTAAGCCTTGACATAAAAATTATAAGCAAATTTTTCATAAAAATAACAAAGTAAATTATAAATGCCATAGGAAGATTAAAGTAAATACAGTTTGGCTAAAATTTATCACATTTCCTCATACTATAAGTAAAGTTAGATGCTTTTAAAGGGTGGAATGATCATATCTATTTATAATTTGAGATTGAAATAGTTTCAGATTTAAGACAAATGGTCTCAGATTTAAGTCAAATTGACATGAAGAAAAACAAAACTGTAACAACTAAGATATTTTTAAAGCTACTGAAGAAAAATAATTATGACACAGGGAATACACTTCACTTCATCTGGAAAATCTGATATTAACTGTCAAAGTACCCCACTTAATTGAATCAATTTCAAAATACTATTTTAAGTATATGCATTTCCATATATCTGATTTATCATGGTCTTAAAATGTGGCAACATAAATACATTAAAATTATTATTTCAGCAGTATAAGACTACATTAATATTAGTCTATAATAACTTAAAATTTCATAAGTGACACACTGACTTTAATCAGAGGAAAGCATTTCTCAGTTCTAACTTTGATGTGCTGGAAACAAGGAATGTTTCTAAGCTGATATAGCAGATATATTTATCATATGTATCTTTTTTATATTCAACTAGATTCAACATTTAGCTGTAACCAAATATCACTTTAAATTTTACTTCAGGAAGTTTGAAAAATACTTATTTTTCTTGATACTCACTTCTCTTTCTGCTTTCTCTCTTTCATACTGACATTGCTTTTCTTTCAAATGATTGACTTCATTGATCAACCTCTTATTCTCTTCTTCTAGCAAAACAGAGCGCTTTCTGCACTCAGCTTGAACACTTTGTACTCTGGCATCACATTTGGCTTGAATATTAATTAATGTTTTTTCTTGATTGTCAGCTTTGTTGTGAGCATCATTCAGTTGCTTTTGAAGCAACATACTCTGTCTATGTAGTTGACATAATCTTTCCTGCTTTTCTATGCATTTTTCTACTTTATCTTGGCAATTTTTGTACTTTTTTTCAATGTCCTTCATTTGACACTGTGTTTGGTTTAGGTCTCTTTGCATGCATTCAAAAACCAAAGTCTTTTCTTTCAGAGCCTCTCTTGTGTAACAGAGTTCAGTTTCGAGGCCTTTGGACTTACTCTCGGCTTTAGAAAGTTGCTGAGAAAGAAACAGAACATGAGAATTCAAATTTTCCTGTAAATGACACCATTTATCTACTGTGCCCTGGAAAGCAAGCTCTTGGTCTCTTTCTGATGACTGACTTTGATCATGATCACATAGAACAGCATTCAGTCTACAACGGTATGATTCAATTTCTGTTTCCAGTCTTTGGTTGCTTTCCTTTTCCTTCTCCAGTTTGGAACGGAGCATTGTGTTCTCATCTGTCAGAGCAGTAAGCCGTCCACTAGAACAGGCCATCATTTTTGTTAATGTTTCCATATTCCATTTTAGAGTCTTTCTAAGGTCTTCATTCCTCCCTTTTATAATTTCAATGTCTTTTAAGTATTTCTTTTCCAGGTTTTGATTTTTAAGTGTGTCTATTTCCAGCTGAAGCCTGGCAATTTCATCTTGCATCAAGTGGTTTTCATGCAACAGGTCTTCTTCTTTTTCATGACTATCAGAAATCTAAGCAAAAGAAAGAAAACTTTTAACTAGTACCCAATAGGATAACATATTATGATTGCTTCTGAAATTAAATAATAACCTGTACATTTATGCAATGAGAGGGTTGTCATAACTGGATATCTACTGGAAAAAAAGTTGAGTCAAAACCTCAAACCTAATAGAGGTTTGAATTCCCCAAAGTTTAAAATTTTGAAGACAGTGAATCTATGAATGCAAAAAAGAAACTGCTAAATATTTTTTTTAATCTCAGAATTTAAAAAAGGCTTTTACTGAATTACAACAAAGCCCAAGGCATAAACGAGTAATAACTGAGACTATATTATAAAACTGGGTTTGTACTCTTACACCTAATCTATGCTTTTCCCTGGAGTAAGAGCGTCAGCTTGGCAGATATTTGGACAGATGAATAAAAATTTCCAAATTCTTTAAGTTCCTCTTTCCTAAAATACTGTATAGATATTCTACATTTCTAATATTGTTATGGTCAGTGTTAAGAATGACATTTACTGATAAATGATATATCTAGGCATTGTACTAAGCCCTTGTACATGCACAAGTCAATGAACTCATTTAGTTATAATTCTATAGTGAAAGTTTAAAAATATAAGCAAGCTGCAGGATTTTCCCCAGGTTTTCTGACTCTACTTCTACTGCTCTTCCACCAAATCAGTTACTTCTGTTAGGTAGATATACACATACAAAAATAGTCTTTTATTTCCAAACACCAAAAGTCAAGAAAATTAAATTTATTGAGCTCCTCTTAGAAAATCATGAGATTGTTTGCTATTATGATAACTTTTATTTCCTTTCCATAACATTTGAAACAGTAGTTAACATGAAATAGGGAAAGATATGCTGAACTATGTCATTAGGAACAACATTCTTACAATACCATTAAGTATATATTATTAAATATCATTGTTTTCAAAAGGTCTTTGAACTAAAATAAAATATTATGTCAAGATTTATTATAAATAATTGTAGTTATTAATCCCATGATTCATTTTTTAAGATAAAATAAAATTTTTGGTTTGTTTTAGGCCTAAATAATATATACTAAAGAGATATTATAATTAATATTAATAAAAGTAGAAACATGAAGTTTCACCAGACATTAATTTACCTGATTTGAATCATTCCCCACAGTCTCCAATTCCACCTCCAGAGATTTGATAGCCAGTTTAAGTTGTTTTATCTCTTTGGCGTCTATTGCATATTGCTCTTCTATTTTCTGTATCTTTTCCCCAACTTTTTCGTGCAACTTTTCAGAATTTCTTCCTTTCTCTTTTTCTTGTAGTATGGCATATCTGTAAATATACTTTTCTTAGAATTTATTTTATCAGTGAGGATTAAGCTCTCTGATTTTTTACCTTGCCCAATTCCTACCTAAGGGGTCCAGGGAGTCATGCTCTACAAACCATGGATTCTCATCAGATTGGTTTTATTTGACCCTGTACATTGTGACTTGCTTTTCAATCTGACTCTGGCATAACATTATGAGATAAGGAAAAAAAATTTTAATCAAAATATACTTCTTTGCCATGCCTTGAAATTGCCCTGCAAAGTCTCTTTTAGGAAAAAGCCACATTCTATAGGGAATCCCCTTATCTCTTTATTTTCTTTCCTTTCTTTGCAGATTCAGGAGATAATCAACAAAGAGCCAGGCACCCTTCTGGGTCCCATAAGAAACATTTTACAACCTGCTTTCTCTCTTTCTGAAATCTGTTGAGAGATTCCTCTGCAAAATAAAACTTCCACGCAATCATTTATCTCAACCTGAACATTCCTTTCCATTAATCCCAGGTCTTCAAATAAACTCAACCAATCGTCAACCAGAAAATGTTTAAATTTACCTATAGCCTGGAGTCCCTGCTTTGAGTTGTCCCGTCTTTCTGAACCAAACCAATGTAAAAAATGTATAAAACTAAGTTGTGCCCCGACCACATTGGTCACATGTTCTTGGGACCTCCTGAGGACTGTGTCACGAGCCATGGTCACTCATATTTGGCTCAGAATAAATCTCTTCAAATATTTTACAGAGTTTGACTCTTTTTGTTGATACCAGAAAATAAAACATTCATATGTTGCTTTATTATCCTAATAAAGTTTCTATGTTCTTAAATATTATTTTTCTTTTTAGTTCTCAAGTTTTTAATTTCTCACCTCAATCTCATCCAAAGGACATGTTTAATTTGAAGTGTATTGATAAAAGAACATCCTGCTAACCTGTAAGTTTCTGTTACTAGTAACTCTAGCAAATATTATTAAAAAGGATGTTGAAAATTATTCAGTAAAGTTGCAAGATAAAAATTACCTTATTTTCACAGTAATTACTCCTCAATTAGAATGGATCATTTAGAGTTAACTAATTAAAATGAAGTTACTTTTTATAAATAAGTTGATACATTCACTAGAAAGAAATTTTCATCTTCATGAAACATTGCATAATTTACATTGTACGATAGCACTTTCAGATGTCTTTATGAAATATATATTGGCAGATTGCTGTAATCCAAGACTAGATTAAGAATCTAATATGTTACCCTACACTTTTTAAGATTTTTTTGGGTAACACTTTCAACCTGTCCTGTTGATTAGTATATAGTTTAGAAACAATTTTAAAACCTGTTTTAAAACAACACAAGATCTAATATTTAATTAAGCAATAAAGAATGATATGTGTCTTCAGCATAGAACCTTGAATTAATTTTATCTATGTAGCAGAGAGACGATGAATAAGCTAATCAGTAATCACTTTCCATTTTACTTTTTATTCCCTGCATATTAAGAATAAAATGATAATTTTTGTTTGTTTATTTTTTGAGAGGGAGTCTGCAATGGCACAATCTTGGCTCACTGAAACCTCCACCTCCTGGATTCATGCGATTTTCCTGCCTCAGTCTCCCGAGTAGCTCAGATTACAGGCGAACTCCACCACACCCAGCTAACTTTTTGTATTTTTAGTAGAGATGGGGTTTCACTATGTTGGCCAGACTGATCTCAGACTCCTGACCTTGTGATACACCTGCCTCAGCCTCCAAAAGTGTTGGGATTACAGGCATGAAACACCACACCTGGCCAGTAATTTTTTAAATAATTGTTCTGGGAAGAGAAAAATACCTATTTCATACTCTGTTGATTGAATTATAAATTAATATAAACATTCTTAAGAACAATTTAGAAACATTGATCAAAGATCTTTTTTTAAAAGTTTCTATGCTTTAACCAGAATAATTTGCCCAAAGTAAATAATTAGAAATGTAGAAAACTATGTATATGTAAAAAATGTTCTTTGCAGCATTAATACAAAAACTTTTTAAAACCTAAAATTCAATTTGTCAATTAAATAATGAAATTTCCATAGGGTAAAATTCTATACACTCATTAAAACTACAATTTAAAAGAATATGCATTTAGTTATTAGGGAAGTATTCACAATTAAGAACTTGTGATATTGTATTGAAGAATTTCGCACTCCACAAGATTAAGAAGCTTTTTTCCCTGTTAAATCCTAGAAAGAAAATCCACAGTTACAAAAATTCTCCTTATACATCCTTAGTAGTAAATAAATAATTCAAACATTTCTTAAAAACTAGAATGTCATACCTCAAACTGCAGAGTGCTTTTTCCCATTCAGGTTTTTCATGCTCTAACTGTGATATTATTTCTTTTTCTTCAGATAGTCTCTTTTGTAGCACACTAATCTTATTTTTCATTTTTTGAATTTTTCTAGTGAGTCGTTCACAGTGATTATCTATTGATCTTTCACGTAAATAAATTGCATTTTTAATTTTTGATAGGTGAACACAATCTAGAAAACAAAGTAGAGATAAAATACATGAGTAGATTTTTTTAATATAAAGGACTGTGCATTTTAACAAGCATTGATTCATATACAAAACAGATATGTACATGTTGAATACCTACAAGGTGGAAGACATTATAGTAAGCTCTGCAGATAAGACAACACCTCTGCTCTTGTTTTAGCTTAAAGTATAGTGAAGAACCAAGATAAAAGGTGACAATTATAAACTCAGGTACTGTGAAAAAGAAAAAATACATAGTTTTATGATTGCATAAGATAATTTGATCTACACTTCACCTGAGAAAGAGGTGTACAATGTAAAGATTTCCCTGAGGAAGAGGTGGCTACACTGAGAAATGAAGGTTGAGAAGGAAATAGGCAAAGAGGAAAGCAAAGCATTCCGGCCAGTTTGCAGCATGTGATGAAGCTCTGTTGCAATCTGCTACTAGCCCAAATAAAACTCAAGACAGTAAGTGAAGGCATGGAAGCTATTTAAAAAAAAAAACCATATATGTAGAGATGCAAATTACATTTTCAGAAGTAAAAACTACAGTGGATGGAAATAAAGACAAATTAGGGATGACAAAAGAAAAGATTCCTAAATTTGACATGATAAACTGTGAGAAAGTTTCAAGCAGCTAATATAGATAACTCCCCAAATAAAAAAAAGAGAGACAGAAAAAAAAGTTAAAGAAAAAATGGACAAAAATGTTCTAACCTTAATACAAACCATAATCCCACAGATTCAGGAAAGAAGTGTCTGGGACAGAAAAAAATGAAAGTGTATCATTGTCATCTTTTATACCATCTGTGATGTATACTTGAAGGGGGACTGTGATAAGTTAAAATTATATAGTAAAAATCCTAAAGTAAACATTAAGATAGAAAAACAGTTATCTCTAATAAACCCAAAAATATATAAAATTGAATCATAAAATATAGCCGACTGATCTAAAAGAAAGGAGAAAAAGAAGGAGAACAAATAACAGCAGGGACTAATAGCAATCAAACAGCATGATGACAGAAAAACATAACTATATCAATAATCACATTATAATGACTCTTGTCTAAAAACCTCAACTCAAATGCAGACTGTCAGACTCAGTAAGAAAACAAGACCCGAGGTGCGCCGGCCGGGCCTGGGTTGTGAGAGGAGCTGAGGGTGCCTGCGCTGAAGTAGCTAGGGGCTTGTGTAAGTGGAAGGTCCTGCAGGCGGGACATTCAGGGTTTGGAATCAGATGATATTTGGAGCACACATTTACGCTTCTAAGCAAACTGCCTTTGAGGTCCAGCTCTGGTGACTTTGGAGTGTGTCGAACTCTGTATTTCAAACACAGGCAGTGTGTTACAGTTCACAGATGTGACCGAGCCCAGTCCAGTCGCACCAACTGGAGGAAACCTGAGCAGGCTGTGGCTCCAGGGCACGTCCAGGGAACGAGTCTCACGTGTGCCTGCTTGGTTTCCTAGGAAGACCTGGAGGCGCTCATAGCCCATTTCCAGACACTGGATGCCAAGAAGACTCAGATTGTGGAAAGTCCGTGCTCCCCGCCCTCACCAAGGTTAAATGCCTCCCTCTCGGCTCATCCTGGGAAAGATGAATTAATCCTTTTCAGAGGTGAATATTTCAACAGCCAAAAAACTTTTTTGTATAATGAGCTCTATGTCTACAATATCAGAAAGGACACCTGGACCAAAGTCAACATCCCCAGTCCACCTCCGAGCCGCTGTGCCCACCAGGTGGTGATGGTGCCTCAAGGTGGCAGACAGCTGTGGGTCTTTGGAGGGGAGTTTGCCTCTCCCAACGGAGAGCAGTTCTACCACTACAAGGATCTCTGCATTTGGCCACCAACACCTGGGAACAAGTCAAATCAACAGGGGGTCCTTCGGGTCGGAGTGGACATCGGATGGTGGCCTGGAAAAGGCAGTTGATCCTTTTTGGTGGCTTCCATGAAAGTACATGGGATTACATCTATTGCAACGACGGGTATGCCTTTAACCTGGACACCTTCACATGGAGCGAGCTGTCCCCGGCTGGGACAGATCAGGCTGCCAGATATTCGTCACTCCTCAAGGCAGCATTGTCCTCTACAGGGGCTACTTGAAACAGAGAGTCAAGAAGGATGTGGACAAAGGCACGCGGCACTCAGACATGTTCCTGCTGAAGCCAGAGGGCGGAAGAGAAGACAAGTGGGTGTGGACTCGGATTAACCGTTCGGGGGTCAAGCCCACTCCACGGTCTGGCTTTTCTGTGGCCATGGCCCCCAATCACCAGACCCTGTTCTCCCGGGGTGTCTGTGATGAGGAAGAGGAGGAGAACCTAGAGGGAGAGGTCTTCAACTATCTGTACTCCTATGAGGCCACCAGGAACCGGTGGTTTGCGGGACAGCTGAAGGGACCCAAATCCAAGAAGAAAAAATGCAGGCGGGGCAGAAAAGAGGAGCCCGAAGGTGGCAGCCAGCAGGCGTGTGGGAGAGCCAGTGCCCAAGGGCCCGTGGACGTAGTCAAGAAGGTGGTGGTTGAGGATGGGACCATGGTCACCATTAAGCAGGTGCTGGCTGCCCCAGGCTCGGTGGGGCAGGCCCAGTCTGAGGATGAAGACAGCTCTGAGGGGGCCAGCAGCCCTGTGCCCGGGCCATGTCCACGCTCCAATGCCATGCTGGCCGTGAAGCACAGGGTGCTCTACATCTACGTGGGCATGTTTGAGGCCGGCGACCGCCAAGTCACCCTCAGCGACCTGCACTGCCTGGACCTGCACAGGATGGAGGCGTGGAAAGCCTTGGTGGAGATGGACCCAGAAACTCAAGAGTGGCTCTAGGAGACGGACTCGGAAGAGGACAGTGAGGAGGAGGTCAAGGGCACCGAGGGTGGATATGAGGACGAGGACAGTGCAGAGGAGAGCAGCGCGGAGGACTGAGAGCCCCTGCCGGGGTGCCTGGAGAGTGCTGTGCCACCGTCCACTCAGGACCCAGCCGTGTTGGGTGACGCTGTCAGCAGCCCGAGCCCTGACGAACAGGGCGAGAAGTGCTGAAGCGGGTCAGGCCGGGGTATAAACGTGCTCCCATGAGTTATTCTCTGATGCCGTGCTGGGCTGTAAGTTAGACCCAGTGCAGTGCAGGTGGATTCCCTCAGCAGCCTGTGTGTTGTGTAAAATAAAGTAGACTTGAAATGAGAAAAAAAAAAAAAAGAAAGCAAGACCCAACTACATGCTGCCAATAAGAAATGCACTTTAAATGTAAAGACACAAATTAGTTAGAAGGTTGGAAAAAGATACATGTTAACACTTGCCAGAGGCAGCTGAGCGGGAGTGGCTGTATTAATAGCAAAGTAGATTTCACAGAAAAAAAAAAAAATCCAGCAATAAATAACAAAAGGTCACCTCACAATAGTAAAAGGATCAGTTAATGAGGAAAACCTAACAATCCTAAGTGTTTAGGCCCCTAAAAACAAGCCAGCTTCAAAATATATGAGGCCAAAGTGGATAGAACTACAAAAAGAAATAGACAATTTCTAAGTAATCTGAGGTTTCAATACCCTTTACTCACTAAGTGGTAGAACAAGAAGGCAGAAAATCAGCAAAAATAAACAGACTTGAACTCTATGCTTTTCAAGTACCAATGGAGCACTTACCAAATAGACTATATTTTAGGCCATGCCATAATTCTCGGTTAAAGGACTGAGTCAGAAGGACTGAAGTCATACAAAGTATATGCCCTGACCACAAATCAACCAGATTAAAGACCAATAAGAAAAATAACTCAAATATTTGAAACTAAGTATAATAAAAAGATAATACATCATAAACAAATGAGGTTTATCCTAGAAATGCAGGGTTGGCTTAAGATCAAAACATCATAATTATTTACCATATAACAAAGTAAAAGTAAAGGCCCATAGGATCACTCCAACTGATAGAGGCATCTGATAAAATTCACTCTCAATGATTTAAAGCAGAAAATAATCCTGGGTCAAAGAGGTAATGAAAAGAGAAATTAGAAAATATTCTGAACTGAATAAAAACGAAAATACAATGTGTCAGAATTCGTGGAATGCAGCTACAACTGTACTTGAATACAAATTTTAGCACTGCTGAATGTCTATATTAGAAGAGTCTCAAATCAATGACCCTGACTTCTACCTTAAGCAACTAGATAAAAGAAGAGCGAATTAAACCCAAAGCAAGCAGAGAAAAGGAAATAATAAACATCTGCTAAGGTCTGAATGTTTGTGTTCCCCAAAATTTATATCCTGAAAGCCAATTACAGATGGGATGGTATTAGAAGGTGGGATTTTTATACGTAGTTAGGTCATGAGAGCCAAGCCCTCATGAATGGGATTAGTGCTCTTATACAGCAGACCCCAGTGCTCCTTCACTCCTTCTGCCAAGTGAAGACAGAGAGAAAAAGAATGCATCTGTGAACCAGGATGTGGTCCCTAGCCATACACCAAATCCAACGCATCTTGATCTTGGACTTTACAGACCCCACAACTGCGAGAAATCAACTTCCATTGTTTGACTCAATCTATGGTATTATGTTATACTGTTGGCTTCAGAAGAAACAATAGATCCAGATGGATTAAAGACTTAAACATAAGACCTGGCACGATAAAAACCCTAGAAGGAAATTTAGGCAAAACTATCCAGGACATAGGAGTAGGCAAGGACTTCATGAACAAAACACCAAAAGCATTGGCAACAAAAGCCAAAATAGACAAATGGGACTTAATGAAACTCCACAGCTTCTGCACGGCAAAAGAAACAGTCACTAGAGTGGATCGGCAACCAACAGAATGGGAAAAAATTTTTGCAGTTTACCCATCTGACAAAGGGCTGAATTTACAAAGAACTCAAACGGATTTACAGGAAAAAAACAAACAAGCCCATTCAAAAGTGGGCAAAGGATATGAACAGACACTTTACGAAAGAAGACATATATGAGGCCAACAATCATATGAAAAAACGCTCATCGTCACTGGTCATCAGAGAGATGCAAATCAAAACCACATTG